GAGGGAGCCATTGCAGGGTGCATCTGGGCATCTCACCTCCCCCGATACGGAGAGAGCACTGTAGAAGGAGTCCAGCACCCCTCACCCCACAACTTCCTTTGACATCCACATTGGTCTCTGGGAAGCAGAGAAAATAGAGAGGTGAAGGGCTAGCTGTGTCTGTGGTTCCCCACATTGTCCTGGGGCAGTCAGAGATGGGTGGGGAGCAGGGCATGGAAGCCCCAAAGAGTTGTGTTTATGCAAGGGATGTAGGGGAGAGGCCAAGGGCACTTGGTGGTCAGAGCAGGAAGGAAGGCTGTGGGAACTGAGATGAGAAAAGAGCAGGGGAGGTGGTGGCCACGGGGCCAGAAGGGTAAGTGACTTGCCCATCAACAGATGTGTGGACTCCCAACCCAGTGCTCACTCCACACCACTAAGGGCTGCTCTGCCCTTGATTGGCATCAGGTCCTTGAGTGGAATGGATGAGAATTCCAGCCCGTCGCTACCCTCCCCACCCCTGCCACTGTGCCCAAGCCTTCAGACAAGCAGGCCTCCTGGCCAGCAGAAGAGTGCGGAGATGAGGGACAGGGAGGATCGTTTCCCTGCTTCCCCCACCCCCAGGGGCTTGGGATAGGAAGACGAACAGGTAGGTACCTGGGAGCCAGGGGTCCTGCCTCTAATACTACCAGCAGGCTTTTTCAACCATTTGTTCCAAAGCTTCCTCAAGACATCCGGGCACTGTTGTTCTGAAGACGAACATTTATTAGCACACCCAGGCGTGCCACATAGAACATGTGTTCAGACAGGGATCTCTGCCCAGGGGGCGCACAATCTAAACAAGACACAACACACACGCACATAGGCACATACATGCACGCACACACATGCGGGGAAAGAGACATGGGGAGTGCAGTGTCTTCACGAGCCAAAGGTCCTTCTGGCTGCCTTTGTGGGGGAGGGGGAGGGGAGTAGGACACGGTCTTCCAGGAAGCACTGTCGACTAGGAGGGTCTTGCAGGAGAAAGAAAACACTAGAGAGCAGCGGTTCCAGGCACAGGGAGGGGTGGGCGGGTCGCTCAGAGCAGGCGGATGAAGACAGATGGAATGAAGTGAAAGCGGTACTTGCACATGTACCAAAGAAGTGGAAGGCCGGACAGACAGTCCAGGAAAGAGGCCCTGAGCCATGGTTGGGCCTGAGCCGACTCCCCACGGGGCTGTCCTCTGAGAGCCCCAATAGAAGCTCCTTCAGCCAAGGGAGTGCCCCTGAGGCTACTTACCTGACCCCAGGGCTCTCTCCAATCTCTGAAACAGAGATCTGAAGCCAAAGAAAAAAACACTTTCTTTTTCTTCTTTCTTTTGTGGTGCTGGAGGTGGAGCCCAGGGCCTCCCGAGCTAGGCAATCTCTCTACACCTGAGCTACATCCCCAGCCCACAACCAGCTTGGAAAAGGAACATTAAAACCAGGTTGTAGGAAATGGAGGGGGCAGAAAGGGAGAAGGTGGGCAGCTTTGGTGGAGGAACTTTAGTGCAGCTCAGGAAGGCCGCTGCCAGCCCCAGGAGCTGGGGAGCGGGAAGTGTGTGGCCCCCTTTAATCCAGCGTGGGGCAGGGGCCAGCAGGTGGACACGTGACCAGAAATGGGCCAGTATTCCTTTTGTCCTATGTCTGAAACAGATGTAATGCCTCCCTTCTGAAGTCCCCTGAGAACTAGCAGGCCTGCTGCCCCTGGGCAGTGTAGGGAGGCTGGGATTATTGCTTCTGAACTCCAAGAGCAGAGGGAGGAAATCGTTGCGCAGGCCACGCAGGCTGGCGTGAGATAGGACCGCCCTTCCCAGGCTCCTCGGATGGGACTTGCTGTGGGCTCTCTTGAGTCGGAGAGATTTTTCTAACCCTAAATAATTAAACTAGAGAAAATGGTGGAGAGAGGCCACAGGTCTAGCCAACAGACCCAGAGCTCTCCCGTCCTTTACCCTGCAGGAATCAGGAAGGGGACACTGGACCGGAAACCACAGCAGCTTCTTAGGTGGTGGTGGAAGGTGAAGGGTCCCGCTTTGGTTTTCTGACCTACTTTGGAGGATAGCAAGCCTCCCTTGGGAACTGAGGGAGGGGATGTCCAGTGGGGTGGGTAATCAAGGGGCACCCCTGAGGCCTATAGGAGACTCCTCTCCCAATAAGCCTCCCACCTGATATGGGAGATGGAGCTGCCTTTGCTTCTGAGGCAGCTGGTGGGGTCATAGTCTGGATCTGAAGATGGGCGGGCAGCTCAGGAAGGGCCAGGTCACCAGTGAAGTCCCAGAGGTGACAAGCTGAGGAGGAGAGACTCAGCCCCAGGCTCCCCATCCCCTCACCCAGCTGCTTCTCCCTGGGGAGGGAACAGGCTGGGACCCACAGAGGAAAGAGCCAAGGCCCTGCTTTTTCACGATCCTTTATTAATCAGAACAGGCCTTGCCACAAAAAGCAGGGCCGGTTCCCACAAAAATATGATTTTGCAAAGAGGAAATCTTGCTGGCTTAGAGGGTGCGTGTGGTGGAAAAATTTTGTATGTTTTTTTTTTCTTCTCCAGTTTTTTCTTCATTTCTCTTTGCTGCAAAAATTTTTTTTTGTGGAAGTGGGTTTTTGTTTTATTTTTTATAAAACACTTGCGCTCAAGGACTCAAACACAATACAAACAGCGGCTACCAATCTCCACCCCTGGGGCCCCAGCTGGGCTGGGCATCCCCCCTTGGCTTTTTTGTGGCTGTATTCCTTTGTCCCTTGCCTGGCCTCTGGTGCCTGAAGGCAGGTGTTGGGGTCCTGGGGCAGGTAGAATTTGTACAGCAGTTACAGTGGGAGAGATGGTCACAAGAAAGGAACAAGGTAACAACTAAGTCTAGGGTGCCCACAAAGGTGGTATAGATGACACTGAGGGGGGCTGGAACACAGTGAAGAGACAGTCGGCCCTGGAGGCCTCGCGGTCCCTGGAGGCTCTGTGGGGGAAGGGCAGGTGGGCCTTGCTCTCAGCCTGCGGTAATAATACTTTGCTCCCGGGTAGCACCTTCAGAGTCCTCCTGCTTTGACCCCCAGATCAGGTGACGGCCTCACAACCTCCCCATGAGGTAGGTGAAGTATTATTACCATCATTTTACAGATAGGGAAACTGAGGCCCAGGGAGTGTGGGTGACTTGCCCAGGATCCTGGGACGGCGGCAGGGCTCTGGTGCCCTCCCCCGCCCTCAAGTTCCCCCATTCCTTGCTCTCTGATCGCCCTAGGCTGTCCTGTCTCCACCCCAGATCACCTGCTGCCTCTCGTGCCAGCCCACCTGGCCCTCAAACCACCACTTGCAGACCCTCGCCGGCTTCCGGGAGCGAGCCCCAGCGGCCCGGGGGTGGCGGTGGCGGTGGGGTGTTGGGGAACCCAGGCGGGGCCATCTGCGTGCCCGCATGGGGTCCAACTGAGAGCGGACTCCGCAGGGGAAGCTCTCTGCATGTGATTGGCTATGAGTTCCGTGGGCGGGGCTCCGGCAGGGGATGCTGTTACTTCACCGCCTCGGTGTGAACTGGGCACCGAGGGCTCAGGCCGGCCAGGGGCCCTGGGTGGGGCTCGTTGCCTCGCCACTCGGAGTGGTGCATTGGAAACCCGGCGGATCCGAGGGAGGGGTGGAGATTTGCTAGGTCCCTCGGCCTCTCAAAACTTCTGTCTTCCTACTTCCACACAGCCTCCAGGGACCCTGCTGGGGACTGCTCCCCCAAACCGACCTGTTGGGGCAGACCCCATTTAAAGCAAAGCTAGACTAGAGGAACATTTGGATTTACAAGGAATGTGGGCGACTATTTGCTTTACATTATTAGCATTCTTCACTCTATAAAACGGTTCACCTACTAAGTATGATAGTCCTCCGGATCCCAGGGGCAGGGACGGGGTGGGGGCGGAACATTTTGATATGGGCAAAAGGTGGCCTGACTATGGCATAGAAGGAACGCTCAAGGGGAAGCCCGCGGAAGGAAAGTGGCTCCCGAACGTCTATGCTTTCACTGTGCTCTAGATGTGGGGACCCTGTGCGAAGTCTCCCTGGGGTGCCAGGCCCATCCTGGGTAGAACTGTCGTGCAAGACCGTGACCACAGACGTGGTGTTCTGGCGCCACCTGGCGGTGCGTCCTGCGAATGTCCGGCCCAGGCACGTGGAACCCCAGGATTTGAAACTGTCACCAGCTGGGTCTTGTATCAATACACGGCCAGCGAAAGGATGAGAGGGCTTAAGCAGGGATCATTGTGAAATCTGCTGTCTCCAAGGAGAAGCCGGGTCTAGTCTCAGCAATAGCTGGGGAGGAGAAATCACAGCTTCTCTGTGTGGGGAAGCCTCAGAATTCCTGGAATGGTCCCTGCTTGTTTGCCTGCTGCGGTGGGAGGGCCAGAAGGAGCTCTTCTGGAGGCCCAGGGAGGGGTGGGGAAGGTGAGAAGTCAGGAAGATCAGAAACGACCCAGAGGACGGGGAAGGAAAGGGAAGGTGTCCACTCACCAGGGGGGTTCAGGGGTCGGGGAGTGAGGAGGGGGCCCGGGCTGCACAGGCAGGGAGGGAGGAGGAAGGGCAGGGAAGCTGAGAGCATGGAGCGAAGTTCCAATTTGGCTGGAATCCGAGACCTGGAAGGAGGGGGGAGTCTGGGTAAAGGTGTTGGGGAAGAGCTAGTGGGGGATTGGGACCCCTGAGCAAGAGGGGAGCAGGTGCATCCTGGCGAAATGCTGTGCACACAAGAGGTGCCTAAAAGTTGTGAACGGATGTCCAAGAGATGAAGTCACTGCAGCATTCTGAGCAGAGGAGGTCCCTGAGGGGACAGGGTGAGGAGAGGGGGATGGCAAATAGACAGCTGCCTGTCTGCCCCTCTCCCCTCCTCCACTGGCCCTGACCCCCAGCCTAGACCTCTCCAGACCTCCAGCCCCACCCTGCCTTCACGAAAGCTTGCTCTCCCACAGTCTTAGCACTGCTGGCCCCAGGGGGAAAGGGAGCAAGCGCCCCCACCTTTCTCTCTCTCTCACACACACAGACACACACACACAGTGGACACAACACAAGTACACAGGGCCCGGGCTCCAGGACCCAGGAGCGGGCTATATACTACCCTTGGCATTCAGGGCCCAGGCGGCACCTGAAACTGCCCTGGGGGTGGGCCTGTCTTGGCTGAGCCAGGGCCAAACGCCCCAGCTCTAGTCTCTGGGGCCCGCAACCACGGCTGTAGGAGGGGCGGCTTCTCTCCACTCCAGGCACTGCCTTAAAGAAAACGGGGGACCATGCCCACCTGGCGGGCCTCTGGAGGGATCTGCCCGTCTGCCCGGCTGGCTTTCGAGCTCTCCCCCACTTCTTTAGTATCAGCAAGTCAGGAAGGAAAGGGGCAAAGCAGGAAAATGGCTCCCAGAGCCCCGCCCTGAGCTGGACCGGTGCAGGGTGGGGCTGGTGCTTCCTAGAGTGGGGCCCAATTGAGTCCCGGGACCCCTCCCTGGCTGAGCCCTCAGGGTCCTCCCCTCACCCGTGGCGGCACAGGGGCAGGCCAGGCATTGTGCATAAAGTGGTGAGGGCATGATGGGGACCTGGGCCTTTGTCCCCTGGGCCTCCCGTGGCCCCACTCAGGCCTTGAGCTGGTGCCATTGGGCCACAGGCTGCCGGGGACGGGCAATCATGTCCTTCCAGTGCTTCACCTCCCCTGGCCCACTCTTCCAGGACAGGTAGATCTGGGGAGAAAGGGAGGAAGATGCATTAGGCCCGTCTCAGGCTCTAACTCCTGCCCCCACCAGCGGGGACACCCCAGGCCGTAGTGCCAACCAACCCCACAGAAGATGTCCTTGGTTGGGCCCCACCTCAGGAGCCCGGGCCTGCCTGGCCCTTTGAAATCAGCCTGTGGCCTATTTTGCAGTGGAGGGGGCGAAGGCGGCAGTGGAGGCCGTCTGTGTCCACGGCCTTCCCTGCCCTCCTGTGGGACACTGCCTAGCTCACCATGACTGCAGGCGCTCCCACCTCCTGGGGACCTACACGCCAGCCACTGAACTCGGGCTCTGAATCTGTGGATCACGGCGTCCTTATAGCTGGGAGCCAGGCACAATTACATTCCCAGCTTCACAGTCACAGGGGTTTAAATGCAGGACTTGGGGCCTAGACTCCCAGCCCCATCCTGTCCAGCCGTTGTGTTAGGGCCTTCACATCTTGTGGGGCTGTGTGTGGGGATCTTCAGAACCCCCAGGGCAGACCCAGCTGACCACAGCCTGGAGAGTGCACTGTTCAGAGTGCGGGGGCGGGGGGGGAAAGGAATGGGTGCTATAGGACACCTGATCAGCACCCCTCAAGGGTGTCAAGATCCCAGACAAGAAAGGAAGACTGAGAAACTGTCAGAGGAGACCAGGGACATGACGACTCAGTGCCATGTGACACCCTGAACTAGATCCTAGAACAGAGAGAGGATATTGATGGAAAAACTGGTAAAATACAAAACCTGAATTTTAGTTCCTCGTAAGATCCTCAGGCTGTGAGGAGTGTACTATCTTCATGTGACAGACTGACAATGGGGAGTAGGGGCGAGGGGGACACGGGAACTATCAGTACCACCTCTGCTACTTTTCTAAAACTCTAAAACTATTCAAATAAAAAGTATTTTAAGTGTTGGGGGTGGGAAGAGCAGGGCATGGTGAGACATGCCTGTAATGCCGGCGACTTGGGAGGCTGAGGCAGGAGGATCAAAAGTTTTGAGGCCAACCTGGGCAACTCAGCAAGATCCTATTACACAATAAAATAAAAGAGGACTGGGGATGTAGCTCAGTGGTAGAGCACTGGGTTCAAGTTCTGAGCGGGGGGTGGGTGGGGAGGGAGAGAGAGAATGAGAGAGCGAGAGAAAGGGAAAGAGAAGAGGGAAGGGAGAAAGGGTTAAAAAAAAAGATGGGGGCGAACCCCAGCTCTGCCACGTACGGGTGGCGAGGCCTCCCTGAGTGTCGATGGCGGCTGCCTTGTACACAGTTTGAGATGGTGAGTGTCGCGGCTCCGTGGGCACGTGGTGCATAGTAAACCCTCTCAGTTGTGGGTTCTGTCTCTGTAGCCCGCTGGCTGTTCACTCCCGAGGGTCACAGAGTTTGGGGGCCACTCGGGCAAAGGTCCTCATTTGCAACCTCCGTCCAGCATGGTGCCCACAGCCTTGAGCTATGCTGCACCGATAAGAGGGCAGGTTCCTGGCTTCCGAGGGCTGAGCAGGGGCTGGAACTCAGAGGGTTGCCTAAACTCCCCAGGCCAGAGCAAGAACAGATCCGGGGCTGGGGACACAGCTCAGCTGGTAGAGGACTTGCCTGGCATGCACCAGGCCCTGGGTTCAGTCCCCAGCACCACCACACACACACAAAAGAACAGCTCTGCCTCTGCCTGGGTTCAGTAACAGAAAGTAGGTCTTTTGCAAAAGGACCTGCCATTGGAATCTAAGGAACACCCAGTTCCCAAAGGTGAAGCTTCAGGAGAACCGAGAAACAGATATGGTTTACACGTCCCTTGGCCTGGGCTGGGCCTGGGAGGCTCAGCAGGCCCTGCCCAGACGTTGGAATATGGGTGGCACTGTCCTGTGACAAGGTGGCTGGTCACGCTCCCTGGGCCAGACTTATGGCAGGCAGGGCCAGCTCGCCTCTGTGAGGCCAGACTGCCTCCCTCGCCTCCAAGAGCACAGCTGCGTTCTCCATCCCTAGCTGAGGGTTGCCCCCAGCTCAGCCCCCTTCCCTGCCCCTTCTGAGCTGACTTCTGAGCCCACCCTGTCCACACTGAGCCACATACAAACACAACGACAGACATTTCAAAGTAGAAAGTAGAAAAGTGGACGGGTTTATGCCACAGAATCTCCTCCAAGAAAACCTCAAGGCCAGGAATGGATTTGTGGATTAGCAGGCGGGAGGAGAAGGTCATCTTCAATTGGGAGGACCTCTACATATCTTGGGCAATTCTTCTTTCACCCTGGAAAGTCCTGTAGCCCCATCTTATAGATAAGAACCCTGAAGCTCAGAGAGGGCAAGTGGTTTGCCCAAGGTCACCCAGCTGTTAGTGGGCAGATCAGGTGGGACCTGAGGTTAGGTCTTTGGAGTCTGATGGTAGCTCTCGAAATTGCCCCACACAGCCTGTCCTCTGAAGATGGCCCCTCAGAGCAGTCGGGGGCCTGTCTGAGGAGCCTCATTTCCCTGCCACTTCCTTCTTTCCCTCCCTCCCAGGGGTCTGTCCTGAGCTGAGCGAGCCCCAGGAAGATGCCTGGGGGGAGACCTCAGGAAGGTCCCGTCTGATGCCCTCAGTTTTCCCTGAGGTGGGAAGGACTGACCCACTCTGGTGTCCAGCCTGCTGGGGGCCGGCTGGGTGCGCCCCACTGCCGGGCCTACCTTGCCTATGACGTCGTTGCGGCTGAGCTTGTCCTTGTCCATGACGGTGATGACGATGGTCGTCTCCCTCAGCTTCTCCGTGGGGATGTCGAAGGCGAAGGACTCGTTGAAGATGGGGTTCAGGTTCCTCTTCATGGTCACCGTCTTCTTTTTCTCCACCCGCTTGTCTTTGTACATCAGCCACACCTTCACGTAGGGGTCTGGGGAAGGGAGGGGAGGGTTAGAGGGACAGCGTGGGGGGACTCCTAGGACCCTCTCCTCCTGCCATGTGTGGAAGCCAAGGCGGGGGGCGGCTGTGTGCTTCCCCCCAAAGGGCAAGGCCAGGCCCAAGACAGGATCCGGGGGAATCAGCAGATCGGTTGGGAGAGTCAGAGGGGAGCTTGGCTGTCAGCCACCCAGAGCCACCTGCTAACATCCACGAGGAAACCAAGCCCCAGAGGGGCCAGGTGCAGCCCGAGCTCGGAGACAAGAGAATCAGGATTTGAACCCAGGCCTCCCCAGTAGAACAACAGTCCCGTTCTTCCCGATTCCATAAAGGACAGGGTCCGAGATGTTGCTGTCCCTTAGGATCATCCAAAGGGGGCCCCGATGTCTCTAGGGTAGAGGAGCTGGGACCGGAATGGAGGTGTGGGGGTCAGGGAGGAGGGCCGGCGGCGTCCCGAGTCAGAGCCTCCCCTGGCCCGCCCGCCTCCTGCCTCCAGGAGCCCCAGCACCTGATGTGCCCCCGATGTCCATGGCTTTGAGGTTCCGGGCTTTGATGATGTTCACGATGATGGAGTTGGCAGAGGGGTTGTAGCAGAGAGACAGGAGCAGCTCCCCTCGGCTCCCCTGGGAGGGACAGGTGAGGGATGAGGCTGGGCCACGGGGAGGGGCACGGGGCTCCCCTCCCCCGACCTCAGGGCCCCTCTGGCCTGACCTGGCAGCCACCCCTCTGTCTGCCATTGTTGTCACACTGTGTCCCCTCCTCTGGCAGGTCTCTACACGCCTGCCCCCAGACTCCCCACTTCCTGAACAGAGCCCCAGGTTCTTTCCCACAGCTCAGTGAGTCACCGAGGGCTGAGGGACAGTGCTCGGACCACTGATGGGACGGCACCTCCTTGGGGACTGCCCGCCTGCACCCCTCTCCAAGCCCGGCTGGCATTCCTACGGCTGAGGTGGACTAGGGTGGACCTGCCAGCCCTGACCAGGCAGCCCCCTCCAGCCAGAGGCCCACAGGGGAGGCCTTACACTCCCATCGCTGCATGGCTTCAGATCCTTCCAGAAGGTCTGCATCTGGGTCAGGTCCACCTTGTTGAGGGGGATGGACACCTCCCCGATGGGGTCATTACGGCTGAAACGGTCGTAGTCCAGGACTTGGAGGTAGAGGACCCTCTGTACCACCTTCTCGTAGGGAAAACCTGAGGGACAGACGTGAGGTGAAGGGGGGACAGCAGGCCACGCAGAGCCCAGGAAGGGAGGCAGGAGGGAAGAGTCCAGGAAGGGGAGACTTGTGTCCTCCTGCTGCCACGACACCCAGGACAGCAGGCCACACCTGGGCGCAGACAGGGCTTTCCGAAGTGCTAGTAAGAACTGCCACCGGCCATGTGAACCCCTCGATGGTTCCCCTTTGTTGGAGTGTCTTGTCCATTTTACAGATGAGGAAACTGGGGCTCAGATGGCTTAAATTACCTGTCCAAAGTCCCGTGGCTTACAAACAGCAGAAGTGGGGCATCCATTCAGTTACCATGTGTCCATCCCAGTGATGGGCGTCTCTGAGCTGCCACTGCCAATCATCCTGAGGCAAGTCTGGGCAAGTGGCTCTGTCTGAGGCAGACCAGGCTGCCAGCAAGTCCCCTGGGGGACTGAGGTTGGGGGTGGAGAAGCAGGAATGGACTGGTGCCCTGGGACACTCCTTCCCCTTCCAAGGTGGCCTGTCCTTCCGTTCTTCCTGAGCAGATCCTGCAGCCCTCCCCTCCTCCGCGCCACCTCCCCTGTCCAGCCACCTCTTGCCTAGACAGCCGCAAGAGTCTCCAGATGGCTCCCCCCACGTCCACGCTTCCTCCGGGTCCATTCTCAACGCAGTGGCCTGAGTGATCTTTTAAAAATAGCAGCACATCACAGCACTCTCCTGCTCGGAGCCTTTCAATGGTTGCCGGTGCACTTAGAATAAAAGCTGGGCACCCTACCTTGGCTTCGAGTCCTGCCACAATTTGGCAGCTCCTGCTCGTCTCCTGACCACTCAACAATGACAGGCTGAAGCCTCCTTCCTGGTCCTCTTCCTGCCTGGCCCCCACGGCACCTGCTGGCTTACTCCCATCCTTCAGGCCTTAGCTCTGTCCTGACTTCGCAGCTGGGTGGGACGCCCCGGTACATGGGCGCTCTCCTTTTCGCCAGCTGTGAGAGGTTTAGTCGTCTGACTCGCTCGCTAGGCTGGGATTTCCAGAAAGGCATCCCTGTGATCGCCCACCAGACCCTGGCATCTAGCACCATTTCTGGCACATAGTAGGCACTTGTTAAGAGGATAAATAATTGAACACATGAATAAGTGCCAGGGGAACAAATGGTCTGCCGGAGCAGCAGGAAGGTGCTGGGGTGCGCAGAGGAGCTGAGGTGCAGGAGGTGGGTGGGAGGGGAAGGGGAGAAGGAGCCACAGGAAGATGGGAGCCAGGAGTCAGTGTCCCCTGGGAGGCTCAGAGGTGGGGCTGGCCTTGGGGGTGGAAGGGCACAGGCCACCCTGGACGCCTGGGGGGCTGAGATCCTGAATGAGGGGTGAGCAGGAAGGAGAGGGCATCTAGTCCCCAGCCTGACTGGTGGAGAAGCTGCAGGGAAGAGCTCTGGAGGGTTCCAGCACCTTCACCCAGAAACAGAAGAGGCCCAAAGAGGCACTGGCAGGAGCAGGGACAGGAAATCCTCTGAAATCCTACAGGATCCCTGACCTCCTGTTAAGGGGGACTGGGTCTTGCTCATCTTGCCCAGGTGACCCTCGGCATCTATTCAGGTGAATGCATGTGGACAAGTGTTCTGGGGACGCTGGCAGCGCCCAGGTCCGCTCTCTTCAACACCAGAGGAGGCGGGCTCTTCTCCGGCACACTCCTGCTCATTCCCCAGGACCCACCTTGAATGGCTCCTCTTTGGGGAAATCGGCACCACCAAGGGAAGCCCATACCGGGTTCCTGCAGCGGCTGACATGCTGGGTGTGGCCAAGTCTCAACCCCTCTGTGTCCCCCATTAGATCAGTAACGTCTCGAGGGCCACCTTTTCTGAACTCCCAGTTCCCAGTTCATAATTGACGCTGGGTACGTTTGCGGAAGGGATTGGGGGGCCGTGGCTCTGTCCATCATCCTCGCCCTTTCAGCCGGCCACATATCCCTCCAGATGGCCAAACCTCTGGCTAGTTGTACCATCTCAACTGGACCCCGTGCTGAACAGGGAGGAGGGGACCTGGAAACATCTGAGCCCACCCTCACTTACTTCGTGGGTGAACTGAGGGCCATCTTGCAGATCTGGAGGGGGCCGAAAGACCTGGACACCAATTGGGGAAGAGTCCCTGCAGGTTCTGGAAATCAGGGGACCGGACAGTGGGAGCCATAGGGGTTTATTCTCACGGGTTGAACCAGGCTCCTGGGAGAGTTATGGCCTCTCTAAGCAGGGTGGGGCCTGGGGTAGAAACTGCTCCTGGGCACGCAGCCAGCCTGGTGGCATTGATGCCACCAGGTTTCGGGAGAGAGGAAGGACTTTTGCCTCAGTGGCCTCCTGGAGCCAGAGGACAAGGCTCAGAGTCTTTACTCTTGTCCCAGGTTGGGGAGGGGGAAGGAAGGGGTCAGAGACTAGCAACAGAATGTGTTTAACAAACAGCTATCAGCATTTTCTGAGTGGAGGGCCCAGTTCTGAGTGCTTTTCACACTTTAGTAATTTGTTTAATACTCTCCCTTATTATCTCTTTTACAAATGAGGAGACCAGGGTACAGAGATGTTTAGGAAATTACCCAGGGCACACAGCTAGTAAGTGGAAGAGCTGGGATCCAAACCCAGACAGTCCGGGCCAGGCCTGTGCTCTTAACTACTGCACTCTGGGTGCCCCGGGACACACCATCTCTGAATGCCGTGGGTGCCTCCTGCCTGTCCAGCCCTCCCCAGGACGAGGCCCTCCTTGGCCTCTGGGTGTGAAGCTGGCTCCTTCTGGCTCCCGAGACCTGACCCAGCTACACACAAAATGCATCAGGTTGACTGGGCCGAGACAGGTGCCTCTAGGGCGTGTGTGAGCACTTACATGCACACACGTATCTGTCCATGTGCACACACGTGTGCACACACGTATACCGGCTTGCCCGTGCTCGTGCACCTGTGTGCCCCCACGTCTGCGTAGGCGCCTGTGCCCGTGGCCACGTGGGCGGTGGGGTGGGGAGGAGGGGGCAGTGGGGAGGGGGCGCTGGTCTCACCTTCAAAGAGGAAGGTCTCGTTCCAGTGGGGGTTCAGGTTCTTCCGCTTCACCTTGGTCTCCAGCTTGTGCTTCTTGTCCGGCAGCAGGTAGATCTTGACGAAGGGGTCGCTGGTGCCGCTGAAGTCCTTGGCTGGCAGCTCCTGGGCCTTCATGATCTTCACGGTGAGCGTGGACTCCTGGAAGTTGTAGCCGACGCTGAACTGGATCCTGCCCAGGTTCTCTCGGCTGCAGCCCTCGTGGGCCTCGTCCTCCTCCGAGCCTGGGGACAGCTGGGGGGGGGGCGAGAGGCGGCAGGTTGGGGAGGGCTCTGCCCCCCGGGGCCACCTGTAACCCAGCATGGCTGAGAAGCCTTTCTGCGCTGGAGGCGGGTCCCGCTGCCACAAGCTGCTCTCTGCTGCTGGCCACACGTGGGGCTGGCTGGAGGTGGTGGCCCAGCCCGTATTCATGGCCGGAGGAGGAGGTTCAGGCCAGCGAGCAAGTACCTTGACCAAGGTCTCTTAGGGAGAGAGGGAGGCGGATCCAGGAACGGCCCCCTCTTCCTGAGCCCCGGATCTGTGTGTAGAGACCCCCTCTCCCACCTCCTGTCACAGTCCTGGGTCAACCCCCTCCAAGTGCTGGCCACCACAGCTGCCCTCATCTCCCCAGGTCGGGATGCCTCTGCCTTGGGGCGTGCGGGTCCCTGGGTCCCCTCCACTCTCCCTCCTTCCCTAGCCCTGTGGGCCCTGGGGACATGCTGACCCCAGCCTGGGCTGCAAAACAGGTGGGAGGCTGCTCACAGCTTCAAGAGTTTAGCACGGTGTTTCTGATGAAGGCGACTCTCTGGGGTGCAGGGGGTGATGCAATTTACTAAATGAGAAAGGCAAGCGTTCCGCGGGCGATGTCTATTTGTGTGAGGCAGCGTCACCAGGGAAATGAAGAATACAGATCTGCCCCTCCCTGTCCCCAGGGAGTCTGATTGGATCAGGCTGGGTGGGCCCTGTCTCCAAAGGGCCTCAGGTGGCTGCACTGCGCGCCGGGCTCAGGACCACTGGAGGAGACTGCACCTGCCCCCGGTGCCCACTCTCAGGGCGGGCGCTTGGCAGCCAGGGACTCAATAGGAAGTCCTGGGGAGGGTGATTCCCACCTGACGTGGGAAAGTAGGCAGCAGCTGGGGGGTCTCCCTGTCCAGGGTCTGAAGTGTGGCTACACAGAGGGGGCATCTGGGCAGGCTTGAAACCCTGCCACTTCCAGCTGCTGGGGTCTAGACCCATCAGGTCCACTGGCCCCCCTCCCTGCCTCTGCCGATAAGATGGGAGCCAGGAATTGGACCCGGGGTGCCACCGTTCAGACAAAGCTGCAGGTGGCTATCTATTCTCCCCCACGGAAACCTCCACATCCCCTCCTGCCTCCTAGAGTGGCGGCCACGGGCTCTGAAGTGCTCCATGATACAGGTAATAGTAATGCAGATAGGGTGCACCTACCATGGCAGACGACTCTTAGTCACCTTCTTACTGCCGGGCCAGGCAGTTGTCACCGCTCTCTAGCTGAGGAGACTGGCTCAGAGAGGTTAAGTCACATGTCCAAGATGGCACAGCAGTAGGAGCCCTCTCTGACTTGAAGGCCTGCTCCTTCCACCAGAGCAGGCCCACACCCCAGGGTGATAGGAGACTCCCCCCAGCCAGCAAAGCCTTCCCTGTGCCAGGTGAGAAGCTATGGATCAGCTGCCTGCCACCCCTGCCCTTGCCAGGTGTCCCGCCCTCAATCCTTACTCCCAACAAGGCAGGCACAACTGGTTTCCAATTTGGGTTTGGAGCACAGAGAGGTTGGGTAACTTGTCTCAAGTCACCTTGCCCGAATGGTGAAGCGGAACCTGCACGCAGGTGGCGCCCAGGCATTCTGAGCACCCGGCACCTGGCTCTGGGTTCCACACCCAGACCTGGGGCTTTACCCCTGTGGGCAGGGGTGCCAAGCGGCCTTTGCTGGTCTTCCTCACAGTGGAAGCCTGGGCCCTTGGTTGACCAGATAGCCCTGGAGCTCCAGCCCAGGCCCTCTGAGGACACAGCCACCCGACCAGGGTCGGCTCATGGAGTCCCCTTCACCTTGAACCTCCGCTTCTGCATCTGCAGAATGGATGCCACGGGACATAGCTTGTGAGGTTCCTGGGAGGTCTAGATGGGTCCATGTTCCTTCCACAGTCCTCCTCTGTAGCCTGCCCCCTGGCCCAGGCAGCAAGAGCCTGGGACATCACATGGGTAGGCAGGGCCAGCAGGGCCACTCACCTTCCCCTTCCCTTCTAAAGTTGGGGTGCAGTCGTGGGTGACTAGAGCCCCAGCTGAGGTCCTTTGGCCACTTGGCTCTTTGCTCCCCAAGAGGGTGGTCTAGAGGAGTCCTAGGTGGCTTTCACTTCAGAAAGTGCCCACTCCCAGCTTCCTAAGCCACAGTCCTGAGCCCTAAAGAGCTATCTTCCTGGCACCCAGGCTGGCCACCCCATCCCAGCCCCTGGGAGGTGCTGCCTGAGCCTCTTCCCCAGTAGTTAACCCCCCAGGTCACCCAGCCAGGCCCTGTGCCAGGGCATGGGCACCTCAGATGTCAGGGTGGTCTTGACACCACCCCCCCGCGCCCCTCTGCTGGTCGGCTCTGGGTGCCTGACTCCTGTCTCCTGAGTGCAAGCCTCTGCAGGTTGAAGTCACAGGGACTAATTCTCCTGCTTATCTTTACAGTCACTGTTAATGCCGATGACCTGGCGCTGGCATACGACTGGGCAATTAGACTCTGCCCTCCCACCTCTGGGCATCTGCTGAGCACAAGAGGGAGATGGGCCTGCACTTCCTTCCGCTGCCACGCCTGTGGGCCCCTCCCTGAGGGCAGCAAGGGGCAGGCAAGCTGGCTGGGAAAGGGCTGTCCCTTCTGGGAACCTGGCTACTGGAAAATGTAACCAATTACCGGGCTGTGGTAGAGGCAGGTGGGCTGTGGCAAGGGGTGTCCAAAGCAGAGGATGACCAGGGCTGTCTGAACAGGTAGGGGAGACAGGAGGGAGACGGTGCAGGGCCAGGCCTGTGGGAGACTGTGGCTGGCGAGAGAGGGGGGTCCAGAAGCCACCGGATCTGGGATGGGAAAGTTCTGATGCCCTAGCCTGGGTCCAACAGAAATGTGGACCCTCCAGCCCTCTAGAGCCCACTGACTGGAAGTCGGCCTCTTACCAAGGTGGCTTGCGGTCTGTGTGCACATGGGAACTTGGGAAATGCCAGGCTAGCAAGGGGCAGCCGGGGTGGCTGGTTAGAGCTGGATGCAACCCTAAATGGCAGAAGGGGGGGTGCCTGGAGGTTTTGTGGGGCTCAGGAAGGGTGGCAGGTGGGAGAACTCTGAATTGATGTCAGGACTGGGAAGGGCCAGAGGGTCCCCAAGCCCACTTCCCTGTCTCTATAGGTGGGAGGGTGACCAAGGCAAGGACTTGCCCCAGGTCGTGTCCAGTAGGAACAGATCCCACCCTTAGGCCCTTCTAGATCCTTCTTGGGACTTCTGAGCTGCCAGAGCTTTAATGGTGCTGCCTGGAAACCCCTCTGGCCTAGTTCAGGGACTCTGGAAGTACAGGAAGGACAAGTGGCCTCATTGCTGCCACCAGGGGGCGCCATATGAACCACACCCTTGGCCTTGGTGAAGCACTCTAGGGTCTGAATCCCGCAAGCTGTCCCCTCATAAGAGTCAGGACCTGTGGTTCTGCTCTCCTCTTCTCTGAGCCTCCCAGCAATGGGAAGTGGGGAGGGTGCTGGTGTGGGGGTGAGATGGCCTCAGCTGGGAGTTCCACCCCAGGGGTCCCGCCCCAAGTCATCCTACTGCCCCAAGTCTACTACCCGACTTTTTATCTACCAGCCTTTCTCTCTCTCACGAGGTCCCTTCTCAATCTGGAAGGGGATCAAAGCAGGAGAGGCGTTCTTACTTTCACCCGACTGATGAGGAAACTGAGGCCCAGAGAGGTCATTTTGGTGAAAAGAGCTGAGAAGAGACCCCAGGCCTTGCTCCCTCAAGTCACACTGTCAGCACACTGTGCCTAGCTCTCCAGGCTACCGCTGGCTGGGTCCCCTGCCCAAGCAGGCCAGTCCCAGGCCATCCAGTTTCCAATACACACACACACACACACACACACACACACACACACGCGTGCGCGCGCCTTGCCTCCCAGCCCAGCTCTCTGTGGGGCCCAGGCCCCCCGCCTTTCTCACCATGAGCATCTCGCTGGTGAGGGAGTTGACGAGGTCCGAGACGGAGGAGCGGGGCTCGGTCCGGCGGTCAGACTCATCGTGGGGCGTCTGGCCTGGCACTGGGGCTGTGTTCACCGCCTTACCTCCTGCGGGCAACCTGGGAGAGGGGGAGTCCCAGTGAGTCCAGACTGGAGCTGGGCTGGGCTGGGCGCCACAGGCCTGGAGTGGCAGCGGGACCTTCTCGGAGGACCTGAGCCCCTGCCACCTTCTGCAGGCGGGCAGAGGCAGAGCTCGTGTCTGTCAGGAGGCCTGTTTTTCCCCAAGGACTTGAGCTCAGGGCCCATCCCCCTTGCAGCCTCTGCCCCAGGTGCCTCTCGCTTAACTAACCCCATGGGGGGCTGTTTGGAGTGGGGTTCCCCCTCTTCGGGTTCCCCAGAAGCCTTCTAGCCCTCAAGCACTGGCTGGCATGGTTGGTCTGAGTCTGCACCCCTGGTTGAGTCTGCACCCCTCTGCAGAGGCCTGCTCCACCCTGCCCCCCAGCCTGGGAGGGGGAGGCTTACTGGGGAGGCTCTGGGTGGAGACCAGGTGCCTCTACACGTCATGACCCTCTGCAAACATGCCAGTGTCTGTTTCCAGGTGTCCCACCTATTTACTCAGGCTATGCAGAGCACAGGTGCTCTTCCACCCTCCGGACCAGGTGAGGTCAGGACCCCTGTCCACACAGCTCGCTCAGGCAGAATTTCTACCACAGCCCAAGTGTTCTCTGTCTGAATCCTCTGAAGCACTAGCCACTGGCCACACAGGTGAGCAGGCATTCGCAGTGCGGCCAGTGTGACTGAGAACTGAAGATTTTATTTAATTGAAGCTAATTTAGATTTAAAAGCACCTACTGGGTAGGGCAAGTTGTCACCCGTGTGCTCCCCAGTCCCCACCCTGCTCCTACTCGGAGGTGTGCACACTTGATGAGGCTCTCACCCAGGACCAAAGAAAGATGGGGGACCCACCGAGCAACCAGTCAGCACCCAGCTCCATGCCGTTCCCAGGAGGCTAGGAGCTCTGGCTCCGCGGCCGGGTGGGAAGCCCGGGCTATGGTCAGCTGGGAGTCAGGAAGGGGCTCCTGAAAGCCTGCCCAGGGACCAGGCTGGAACGTCCCATGAGAAGGAAGAGGTGGGGGCAGGCAGCGAGGAGGTGATGGGGACCGGCAGCTGGGGCCTGGGACAGGCTAAAATAGAACAGCCTCCAGAGCAGAGTCACAGACTGGGAGCCACACAGGCTGGACACAAGCCGCGGCCCTCTGCTACAGACTGGCCACCAGCACACAGGTGGCCACGACAGGCACATACAGACATGCACGGATATGCCAGGCCCTGGAGGGGAGGCCAGGACCCAAGAGCAGGGTATGCACACAGACACGCACAGACACGCACACACCAACACACAAGGCAGGCAGACACCCGGGGCACAGGGAGAGAATAGCATGGGCATCAGGCAGGTCAACCAGAGCAGCCGTGAGGACACACACAGTGATGGGCACACTTAGGTCCCCAGAGGAAACCCACTCGGGGACACCCAGGCATACCAAGGTGCGCACGTGAACCGGGACAGACTGAAACAGAAAGGAGGAGGAGGGACAGACACCCCAATTATCAGGTGCCTGATACACCTGCTGTGAGAACCTGGCCACCCGCCCCGCCCTCAACAGGCTGGACACCCTTCCCAGAGGCACGGACACGGCAGCACATGTGCGGCCCCGCACACACGGGGACACACGCGCACACACACACACACACACACGTGGACACGTGCTCACGCAGACAGCGCGGGGAGGAAGAGGAGACTGAAATAGCTGGAGAGGTAAAGTCAGGTTAAAAATAGAGCAGGAGAGGAGGAGAGCGGAGATTGACTGCCGGAGGTATGAGAAGTCGAGTCATTTTGGCCACGCCACAGCTGCAGAGCAGCCTGGGGAAGATGGTCAGCGCCACCAAAGCTGTCGGAGGTCACAGGACAGAGAGACGGAGAGACAAAGGCATGGGGAGAGGCAGAGGGAGAGGCCAAGGGGCCCGTCACCGGCCCAGGGACATCCCTGTGAGGAGCAGATGGGAGGAAGGAGGCAGAGAGAGAAAAAGAGGGAGAGAGAGAGAGAGAGAGGCCAAGAAAAGTTAGTCAGAGACATGTGAAGAAGGCTGTTGGGTGGACAGGGACAAGGAGGAGCGAGGCGGCCAACAGGAGAGGCAGAGAGGAGGCAGGGGACACACAGGGGCAGAGGAACATGGTGGCTTCGGAGGAGGCGAGCAATGGGGGTGGCCTGGCCCCGCCCTGCCCCCCACCGGGGTGGGGGTGGGGCCACGGTGGAAACCATTTGGATCCCAGGAGCGATGGAGAGAGGATGGCTGCGAGCATGAGGTGGGTGGGTGGGTGGGTGGTGCAGAATGAGTGAGGCAGTCGCCCTCCTGGGGCCAGCGGCCAGCTCCCCCCCAGGTCCAAGAGCGCTCCGAGGTCCTACCTAGAGGCCCAGGGTTTGGAGGGTCCTGGAGTGGGGGCTTCGGGGCCTTCTGGGATTGAAGGGATGGTAGGGACTGCCCCTCCCGCCTTCCCGTGGTCCCTTGGCCACACTGCCATCTTGTCTGGGACCTGGAGTGGCTCTTCCTCCTCTGTTGGGCCCTGTCTACCACAAGCCTGTTGCTACGGGCCAAGGGAGGCATGTTCTCCCAAACAAGAGCCACAGGGTCCCTGGGCTGGGAGGGGTGGAACGGGGTGCAGAAGGGCAGACTCTGGGTCTGGAGGGGAAAGCTGAAGAGGGACAGGTGGTCCAGCCAGTACTGCAAGGTTGGAAGTTACCGGAGCCCAGAGGGTGGGGACCAAAGATGCCTGGGCCTAGCAAGGATGGCCACGCCAAGCTTTGGGGTGGGGAGGGCCTGCTAGGGGAATCACTTGACTCTGTAGCCCCCCTGGGGTGGCCCACCATTGGGGAAATGCTCCATGGGCCGTGAGGAATGAGTTCCCGGGTGGGTGGGCATGGCCAGGTGGGAATGGTAGGTGTCCACTGGGAAAGTCAGGTTGGGTGGGGCGAGAGCTGCCACCTCCACGCCCCTCCCCCTTTCCCAGGAAGGCAGAGGACAAGCTGATGTCATGATCAGAAGGGATGGGTGTGTTAAAATATGAAGTGAGACCTAAGTGGTGAGGAGGTAAAAATAGGCCGTGGGGACGATGAGCCGGCTGGTCAACACGGGTGGGGTGAAATCTCGTTTCCAGCCTGCGTCTGCTCCCTCACGCTCCACACCTCTCCCCAGCCAGAGGCTCAGGTTCTTAGCAGGCTTTCGGGGGGCTCTAGCACCCCTGCGTCCTCTTGTCCGTGACCCTGGCCCTCTCCCCATGGCCCTCTGGCCTGCCTGCGGCCCAGCATTGAGAAGGGCCCAGGTGGGTTGGGAGTGGCAGGTCCCGCCTCTCCCCATACCCCGGACACGGGCCCAGAGCCTGACACCATCTGTGCCGAGGAGTGAAAGGCCAGGGCCCCACTCTCCCCGCCCACTCTCCAGGGACTCGCGGCCCACCACAGACATGCAGCATGGACTCGGCGGGAAGGAGATGAGAGGGCCGGTCTCCAGAAGCCGCGGGAGGGACAGCCAGTCCTCGGGGTCTCAGGCTATCCACTCTTTCCTAACCCACAAGCCCCTGGCAGCAGCCCGGGCCAGTCCTTTCCTGCCCCTAAAGGGTCATCTGTCCAAACAGTCCCTGTCCAGCTCACAGGGTCTGACAAGTGCTCTAGCCCAAGGCCCATTTCTTCATTAGAAGCTTAGCATGTCTGAGCCGGAAGGGCTGCTCCTTAGAGGTCACCCTGCTGGTCCCTGACTTGACAGCTGCAGAAGCAGAGGCCTAGGCAGGGCCGTGACCTGCCAAGGCTGCAGAGTGAGGCGCTGGCCACACCAGCGGTATGGGCAGTGTCCTGGCTGCTGGGCCTCACGTCCCATTGATCTTGTGGGAAGCAGACCTAACACAGGTGACGAGCCCTCCTCCCATCTCTGGGACCACAGGTGTGTGATCATCCCAGCCTAAGGCCAGGTCAGGAGGAGGCTGGGTGAGGTGCAGGATGCCTCCTTCACTGAGGCCCCCCACCTTTCCCCTTCCCCTGAAGCAGTGCCCTCCTGGACTCTGGGGGCAGTGGGAGCTGCTTCCCTGAATTCCCAAAGGCCCGGGCTGTGGAGGTGTGAGTGCTCAGCCTCTGCTCGGCCCGTGCTCGGCCCGTGCTGCGGCCACATGGCTATTCCGGGTCTCTGCAGGGCCCCGAGGGTAGCAGCGACCCTGGGCGCTGACGGAACCAGGCCCCCCCTTGCGCCAGTAGCTGCCTCAGCTGCTCTTGGCCCTGGACCCCACTCCCTCCTCCTGAAACCTGGCCTTAAGGGCTGCCCTTCTGGTTCGTTCTGGTCACCAGGCCTCTCCCATGCCCCATCCCCTCCTCACCAGGGGCTCCCCTTCCATGGCTGAGCAGCCCAACAGGACCTCCAGGCAGCAGGGGGGTTGAGGGGGCGGGGATGAGGGGGTGAGGCTGGCGCCCTCCCCTGACATCCCCTCCACAGTCCACCAACCTCCAGGGAAACAGGGATTTCCGGGTCGGGGGTGGGGCAGAGATGAAAGATGGAGGGGGCAGCAGAGGTGGGCCAAGCAGGGAGATGGGGCCAAGAAGGCTGGGCTTGCTCCCGCTGCCCGCCCGGGCCAGCATGCTGGGGAGCAGGCTTGATCCAGAATGGTCCCTTCATAGCCCCAGGGACACCACCAAGGTGGCTGTGAGGGGGCAACAGCTGGGGAGGGGGCTCGTCCTCCTGCTCCAGCGTCCGCTGAAGGCACCACCGCCTGGTCCAGCAGCCGGGCCGGTCAAGGCGGTCGGCCTCCCGTGCCTCCGTCTCTGCGGCGCCGTGGGCCTCGCCCGTGCTCGTACCTCTTGTCCCCCTGAGCGTTCTGGTTCTGCTGGGTTCCTGGGTTTTGCAGGTCAGGGATATTGGCAAAGTCATCCTGTTCCGAAAGCCCTAAGACCAAGGATAGCACCACCATCCGGCCTTCCCTGCCCGGTGGGCAGCCCACCAGCCGGGGCGAGACCAGGAGGCCCCACAGGCAGGGGCAGGGTGGGGGAAGGAGAGACAGAGACAGAGACAAAGAGAGAGA